GCTTCAGTGTGGGGCAGTACCGAAGCCCTAGAAACTCTCAGGAGTCAAGCTGCTGAACGTGGTCACCCATCCAACTACTCTCCGAGACTGACGTTGCTTAACTTCACCTGATTTGGGATCTGTGCGCTGTGCACAGGCCCACGTGCCATATATGTATATAATGAAAACATAACCAATCTACACTGCCAAAAAGCAAGTATATACAGCTCTATTCCAAAATCAACATCAGGAAAAAATATAGCGAGAGAATAATATTGAGTAATGAAATATTGCATGGACTAAATGTCAGTCTATAAGAGGGCTTTTACACCTTTTAAAGCAGTATCCCTGGAAATATTATGATAGGGACACCAGAATCAGACATCATGCTTTGGGAACTGAACCCAGGTCTTGGCATGCTGAGCGACCACCTTAACCACAAGGCCACATACCCCCTGACTCCTCAAATATTTTGAGCCAGGTGTTTATGATGCTGAGGAAAGGACAGAGGTATGTTTAAGGGGGTCAGTGTCCCAGACCCCTGGCAATCGGAAGCACTAGGAATAGGACAAGAATACACTAGTAATTGCGTTCTTGAAGTTCGTACAGACATTTCACAACATAAAACAACTCTTGCTGGTGATGTATCTCTCCTTTCTGCTCAGTCGGTGTGGTAATGGTTTTGTCTGTGTTTCGGTATTTGCCAGTCACTACTTGAAAGTGTTAAAAAAACTCTTTCCTACTGTCTTGAACCTAATCATGACTTGTCTCGCAAAATGCATTAGTAAGTGACCCGTGAAGATCCGGGGTAAAATAGGTCTTCAGCAACCCATGCTTGCCATAAAAGGTGACTATGCTTGTCCTAAGAGGCGTCTAACGGGATCGGTTGGTCAGGCGCGCTGACTTGGTTGATGCATATCATCGTATCCCAATTGCATGGATCGATGCTCCTGATGTCAATCACTGGTTTGTCTCATTCAGACTTGATTATTTACAGACCGCAGTCATATAGCTGAAATATTGCTGTGTGCGGCATTAAACAACAAACAAAAAAAGTATTACTAAGTTTTTAAATCCCTCTTTTCTATCAGCTGACAGTAGTCAGTTGCCATGTGATATGATTATTATATCCTTGCAACATGGTAAAAGATACATAGATGAAAGTTGCCACATATAAACTGACAATCCAGTGAATCATGTATTTGGTTACAAAGGTTCAACAGCTCATAACGATGTTGCAAAATGTCAGCTAGAATAATCAGTATACAAAACTGTTCCTCATTTTATTTTCCCATCCTCATTCTAATACCTGTAAGAAACTGAAGTTTCAAATGAATAGATAAGACTTTCTATTAGGATAATATTGTAACCTAAACCAGTTTTAATGTGTTCACACTCAAACTCAGTATGATAATCTTCCTAATCAGCATAATCTTTCAACAAGTTTACAACGGAGCATCAACATGTCGCTGCTGTCAGTCTCCATGCGTTCCACCCCATACAGATAGGAAGTGAACGTGTTTAACAAAGACACAATAGAATTACTTGAGTGTAAATGTCATAAAAACCATGTCGCATTAAGCCATAATTTGCAAACCATAAAACCTACGCAGATCAATGATCTCCAGCTGAACTGCAAAGCGTAATGATAATAATGGCTTCAGTCTCTCAAACAGCACCCACCAACATGTAACTGTAGAGTGAACCACACAAACTAGAGGATATCGTTCTGCTATTCATGTTCCGTGTACAATTGAGACCGTCAAGAAATTGGGAGCCAGGAGCTGCTGCTGCACACAAAAATCAATATTGTACAAAGTTTGGCAACCCTGGTGTACCCAGCGAGTAGCAAATATACTCGCCGGCCTGTGGCTGCACACTCCTCCCCATTAGCTATGCAGCAGGGAGCAGGATGGGGAAACTGCCGTCCATGTTATACAGGGGGATCCTGTCTACTTTAGGAACAAGGAGGGTGGTTGGGATATTGCAGTGTTAAAGGGACACCAGGCTTGGACAAAATAGGCCGTCCTGGCAGATTTAATTCAAGTTAAAACAGACTTTGTTTGCTGTAAACTGAAATTTTATTTCATGAATCTGGCAATTGAAGATTACCTAAATTAAAACAGACAATGCCTCCGGTATGACACTAGTTACTAATTACACTGTCTGGGCCTTGTCTGAAAATGGGCACCGGTCATGGAGCATTGTCCCTCTTTATCATGATATTATCAATACAGAAAACTGTGAACATGGTGAAAATAGCTGATACCAGCATTTATATAATTATTACCAATGACTCTAGATTAACATCATGAACATATAGTACCTGAAATAAGGTTGTGTTATGTTTAAGGTTAAATAAAACTCATTCTTTGAGTGAACTCACGAGGAAATCGTGTCTCTTAATTTCCTGGAGATGAAAATTGGATGACTATACATGCTATAGGGTGCTAGTGCTGGGAAGCAGATGGTCATGGAATGGCAGTAAATGTATTGTTAACTATATGCTCTTGGATCTGTATGACAGATTAGCAAGGACTTATAATTTCAGTAATTTTCTGAAAAAGATTCAACAACATCATTTGCTATTCAGAATAGGATTACATCACTAATTTACTTTAACATGACTTGGTGAATTGTTTCATCAAAACATCAAACATAGCTTGGATGTTCTACGGTCTATCTGATGACATTCTACAATGAATGATTATTTTCAAAAGCTCCATTCAAGCGACTTTTCACTCAGAAAATTTGATGAGATCAATGAGGTTTCTAACTTTACATTACATACTCTCTTATCAAGAATCTTCCCCAAGTCGACTAACGAGAGGCAGCTAACCGTAATGGACCATGCAGCTGTTCAATTCTTATCATTAATATTTGGGTAATAATGTCACCCAGTTTGATAAAAATGATGTTTAAGAACATTTTCGATTTCTTTTATATTATAACAGATTACATATTTTCCTGTAAAAAGCAGCAATAACTGCCTTCATCAGAAAACATGTTTTTGTGCGATTCTTTAATGGAATCAACATACAAGGTACTCAGAGAGTGTAAATTTCTACTTAAATTCAGGTATTACGTTAACAAGAATGCCAAAACATACTCTGACTGAAAAGCATGATCTTTGCTGGAATGTATACAGAGTAACCAATTTATAGTTATGATGTATTTAAGTTCAGATGCATAATACTGATCAAATATGTACATGTGAAGAGTGTTGACAAGATGAAAACTGTTCTAAAAATGAAATTTTTCAACATGTTTACAGTTGCTAGAATAATTCTTTCCAGAAATAACTGGCAGGGATTAATGTTGCAACAAAGTGTGAAAGATGTAGAACATGAAATCCACTGGAGCATGGTAGGACATCCACATCAATGAATGAACATGTGCAACTTTGTGTCTAATTCTGTTTTGCCTTTCCTTAACATATGAATCAACAGTCACTCTACTGAATAAATATCAATAGACAAGACTTTAGATAGATGTGAAAACTAGGAGTGTGTATATTGTACATACTTATATATACTGATATAAGTTGTTCAGCTCCTCTCTACTATAAACTACATATGCGGCACGACAAATAAATCAAAATAACCTAAACCAAAAAATAATTCATTACATAACTATCAAATAATAATTTATATCGTGTAATAGAAGTGTCAGGATTAGTGTTGATGAATACAAATCGCCTACTTTATAATTGCATTGACAAATAGTCTGCTTAAAAAATCAGACAAATAAATCAAAATAACCTAAACCAAAAATAATTCATTACATAACTATCAAATAATAATTTATATCGTGTAATAGAAGTTTCAGGATTAGTGTTGATGAATACAAATCGCCTACTTTAAAATTGCATTGACTAATAGTCTGCTTCAAAAATCAGACAAATAAATCAAAATAAACTAAACCAAAAATAATTCATTACATAACTATCAAATAATAATTTATATCGTGTAATAGAAGTTTCAGGATTAGTGTTGATGAATACAAATCGCCTACTTTAAAATTGCATTGACAAATAGTCTGCTTCAAAAATCAGACTGATGTTCTTCCACATGCCTCAAAGACATGTTAGTTTACACGAATAAATTATTCAATGAGCACAAAATACTACTCCCTTTAAAAAATCTCAACCTGACATATTGTGAATTTTATCCATGTAGAAAACACACTTTTCATTTTATTAAAACTTCAAACAGGTCAAACAGGTAATGTCTCTTTTGGATAGAAAAATACCTAACTCAAACATGCCAAAGTTAAAGTAAACACGGTGTTCTCCTTTTTCTAGCTTGCACTTAGCATTGTGAATCCTCTAATCAATATCAGCTACAGGGGACCACACAGACAATAGAATCTTCACAAACAATAGTTCCTCTCTTCTTTCAGAGTCCTAGTGATTCATTCAATTATTCAGCATGTCAGTTATCAGCGGATTTGGTTGTTTTGCATCGTAGACGAAATAATTAAAATTGAATATGGTGTAATGAGATCAAAACTGTAATTATTATCATACACCTGACAAAGTTGGAATATGTTCTAAATATATTACATGTTTGACTAATTCAGAAATAAAATCAAACATATTACTTCTGAAAATGTTAATGTATACAAACTTTGAAAGATGTTGCTGATAAGCTTAGCTCCATTCATCTCGATCGTGTGGTTACGATGATCGATACACGTCAAAAATATGATCATGTTCACACATGGCATACGATATCATAGATTAACAGTACAATGTGGAAAATTCATTAAATATTTTCCGACATCAGAGAAAATAATAATCTGTGGAACAAAGCAAGACCTTTAACACAGAAAAATAATAATCCGTAGTACCGTAGTAATTATATGCATGAATTATGTGGTAAAATACTTCGGTTCATAGCACCAAAGGGCACCAAATTGACGCTTCATAATCAGACACACAAACTATCAGATTGAACTTTTACTCACTTCTAATATGAACATAATAAAATAAAAAGGCACGCGGCAGTTCATCTGCTTACCTGACCGCGGTAGATAAATCCATATTTATCAGCAACAGACTTGGCCTTCCGCTCTCCCCCCAAGACATGGACAGCCCACTTATCAGTGTAATGTTGACCAAAAGCCACCTCCAGGAAGATCAACCCGAGAAGCGACACCCGTATAATGTGACCGTATCCATTCATTGTGTTGACCTCTCCTTCCAACTCACGCGAGGTAGCCAATACCCCCTGTTTCTTGGATTTCTCTAAGAATGGTCTGTGATGGCACCGTCGTATTCGGTTATTCCAAAAGGGTTACCAGTAGGATTTCCTCATCTATCCATAATAATACACTTCAGGAATAATATCCGTTGCAATTCAACCATTCTCCATGTTGCGGTTCGTCATTGACACGGTGTATGTTCACATAACATGAATAATCCACAGGGCTTCTGTGAGTGTACCGAACCCACAACGCCGGCCGAACTGACAAGTAAGGCTGTGTGAGGCGAGAGCCAGAGTTGACAATATATACTGCTCGCCAGATGGCGCTTGAACGCGGAAGTAAACCCCCTTGCGCATGCGTTGTTCTTTCGCAGAGAGTGCTGAATTCTCTATGACTGTTAATACGCGTGTGTTCAAACGTATCGCGTGGTGCAAGGACGTGTACGCTACACACAGTGCACACGGGATAGGCCTGTCATTCTTTATCAACAACTCCAATGCAAATCAAAGCCCTTACACACGAATCGAAGAGTCCACATAAAACTATATATGAGAACCTTTTTCAATGTCAGTTTCACATCCTTAGGGGAAAAAAAGTGTTTTATTTGACAGGACGATTTCCTAACAGTGTGGTGTCTCTTTCACTATCGTTTTCATCTGATTTGATTATTTGCATAACATGTTCCTTCATGACAATTAAGCAAAGTATACAGTTATGACAACTCAGGGAGTGTGTATACTAAAGGTTTTAAAGAACACTCGATTATTTCATATTACTATAGTTAATTTGTCATGAGAAATTCACTACAATTTAGTGAGTGTGTAAGGTTTTACGCCGGTTTTAGCAATATCACGGCGGGGGACACCACAAATTGGCTTCACACATTGTACACATGTGGGGAATCGAACCCGGGTCTTCAGTGTGACCAGCGAACACTTTAACCACGTCTACTACCCCCGCCCCACAACACCTTAGTAGTAGATATTAATTACATTCCCTGGTCAACCATAGCATTCAATAAAAAAGATAACTCCGCTCGATTATCCAGGGTCATGTATCCATTCCACGAAGACGTGACGTGATACTGTTATGAATATCAACTTTTTTATCTTTCGTAACGATGTTTCAGGGCTGCTTCTCGCCGCTTCATCGGGTAACCATCAATTGAGTAAATGTACGTATAAACTAATATGTTTACACGAGGTGGGATTAATGTCCAACGATAGCAATATAACATGGAAGACAACAGGATAACGTCGTTATAAACAATAAAGAAGTTGTTAGGGAAGGGAATTTCAGGATGTCAACTTCTGTCTTATAAGGAACACAACATTGTGTAGCATATGCTTACTCGTTCATGAACGAGTACGTATAGTACTATATATGTTCCACAACGTTGTGTGCCTCATAATAAAGAAGATGACATCCATAAATTCTCTGCCTTATATGTTTCACTTCTCAATCCCTTTCAAAGAAGTTGTTATCCATGAAGTAAGATGTCTTCGTGTTCTTCAAACTTCTAAATGCCTACCAAAGACTTTATATCATTTCCAGTGTATATAATTCATACAGAATAGAATGGAGATGTATACTATTCAATATAGCAGTTAAACAACACCCGATTCTTTCATATGACATTAGTTAATATATCATGCTATGACGTGCTACACTGTATAACTAAGGTGCTCTAAGGTATGCATACATCTGTATGACTCTTGTTCATTGTGGCAAGTATAGGATTGGCTGATTGTTGATTGCTAATTATTGATGTGAGGACCAGTTGGTGTAACGACCCGTGATTCATGCTTCCATTGTCCTAATCCAGACAGCCTCCTGTTCTCAGCAATAACTTGCCCACCCATCAAGCTATGTGGTAGGAAAAGGGCTATGGTTGATTTGTTAGTTTGTGGGTTTATTGGATCCATTAGGTATTTCACGCATGACTGGCGTCAGACAAAGGTCATGTCTCGGAAGCAACGGGCCGTGAATCTGCTTCTTGATCCGCCCAGTTACGTCATACATTCGTTAGCAATCATGTCTAATTACTGCCGGGGTAATTAGATCAATACCCACACAAAGAGCGACCTGATGCCATAGCGGTGGCAACCAGTACCACATGCATCAGACATCGGTATATGAACGTGCTAAATCTTCAAACCAGGAAGCCCTCACAAATCCTCAACGAAAATAAGATTAGAAATAGCTGACTAAAATATATGTATTCGAGTACAATACATTTATACCACTTGTCTTTTAAGTCTAAGGCATTTAGAAGTGATACACATAAGAGTGAGAATTTATGGATGTCAACTTCTTTATTATGAGGAACACAACGTTCAGGGGCATATGCTTACTCCAGTCATCATTCACCTGGTGGAGGAGTAATCATTCACTCCGAAACGTTGTGTTCCTCATGATAAAGATGTTGACATCCATAAATTCTCGCTCTTAGTTGTCTTTAATTTATTCTCAAAGATGGTAATATATTTCTCTTCATGTCTTTGAATGGCATTTAAAGTAATACGCATAAGGAAGAGAATTTATGGATGTAAGTTTCTTTATTATGAGGAACACAACGCGAAAGAGTAAGTATATACTCCGAAACGTTGTGCTCCTAATAAAGAGTTTGACATCCATAAATTCTCTTCCTTGTATTTCTCTTGTATGGTAGATGCAGTATAAGTCCATGACTGTGGAATTTACATATAGAGATATTTCTTTTACCAAAAGCCTAGGCAAGTCTAGATCAAACTAAACCAAGTATGGTTTCCTTGAGCAGAAGAGGAAAGGTTCTTTTGAAGGAAAAATATGTAATTATTTTAAAGAAATGTTTTCATTGTTTGTTTGATGTGTAACGCCGCACTCAGCAATATTCCAGTGAGTGAGTGAGTGAGTATGGTTTTACGCCGCTTTTAGCAATATTCCAGCTATATCACGGCGGGGGACACCAGAAATGGGCTTCACACATTGTACCCATGTCGGGAATCGAACCCGGGTCTTCGGCGTGACGAGCGAACGCTTTAACCACTAGGCTACCCGACCGCCCCCAGCAATATTCCAGCTATATGACGGCGGTCTGTAAATAATCGAGTCTGGACCAGACAATCCAGTGACTAATATCATGAGCATCGATCCACGCAATTGGGATACGCTGACATGCATCAACCAAGTCAGCGAGCCTTACCACCCGATCCCGTTAGTCGCCTTTTACGACAAGCATTGTCACCTTTTACGGCAAGCATGGGTTGCTGAAGACCTATTCTTCTCCGGAATCTTCACGGGTAATTGACTAGGTGTTAGTCTAATGCAGTATATGTACAGTGCATAAAAAAATGACAAGGCGTGTCATGGATTACAGCTTTATATTATACATGCACAAAGTTTCAGGTGTACTCCTACTTCTAGCTTCTACTGGATATTTATATGAAAACAATAATGTGATTAACAAGGCGTATTAAAATATTAACACCTCACATTTATAGACTGACCTTTATTCTGTGACAAAAGAATAAATTGAGGCCATATCTTTCTCGTTTGCAACATTTTAAGCCTATTAAGATAAAGAAGCACCGAGGAGTAAATATCACAATTGGGTTTTGTAATATATAAGAAATAAATCGAGACTTCTTTTTGCAATAATTTTGCGGTTGTCATTAACATCGACAAATGTATTTCGGTCTTTAATAGTTCGGCGGATATGTGAAATGTCATGTCATTACACGTTTGAACGAAAATACAGTTCGTACATAATCCATTACTTCCGCTTCATGGATATAGCATATGTCACGGGGATACGTAGCTGTGCAAAAGATAAAATAAAACATTATCGACCCATGTAACCCATATGAGGCCGTAAATAATTAAAAGACAATAACTTGTGTACAGCTACGTATTCCTGTACGTATATATGTTGCAGTCAATGTGTAAAATGACTGACTTTTTCACTTTGTCAATTTACAAAACGCCTCAATATTTTTGTTATTTTTCAAATTGACTGATACCATTTATTTCATTATGATAACGAAATCCATACATATTAATGTTTAATTTCATCACCCGGTGACTGAAAATGATAGGATTAAAAGAAAACGAAAGTCAGTGTATAATATTTTTGTTCTTATCCAAGCATATTTGTCCACTGTGATGTTTTAAGCCTTTTTAAAGTTATTAATATTTTTTAGTCAATCTGTGAAATAAATGGACAGATCTTTCAGTCAATGTGTAAAATTACTGAAATATTTAGGTATTGTATAAACTGCCTAAGTGAATCACATTTTACACATTGAGTGCAACATTTAGCTTCTACTTACGGACGACTCGAATGGCATAAGCTGTAACAGGTGACGTTATTATCCAGCAGCCTAATACTTCCCTGTAAGTTTGGGTTAATTACAATATATATAATCCCATATCTTCTGCTCTTAAATTACGTAAAACTATACGGCATATGTATTTATGTTTCATGTGTGTCCGTGCTAAACAAACAGATCAATAATCAGCAAAGTATGGTTTGTATACACCTGTGAGATGTTTCTATTTGGAAAGACATCTTTCCAAATCGTACAGTCCGTCCTTTTTAACACATTCAGCGTTATATCTCTGCATTGAAACTATTCAACATGGAAAACGACAATTATTGGATCCAAATCATCTATTTCCAGCTGCTGTACATTTGACGCATATCTGCTCCCGCAAGGTGTCGTGCGGGAAATAGTATTATGCTCCACGAGAAGTGACGTCACTGTTGGACATGCGTTACACGTTAGGGTGAAAGGGAACCCGTTTGGAGTACCTGTTGAGATACAAGCTGGCGTCTAAAAAGTTATAGCTTCCTCGACTGAAGTCAATATTTAACAGGTATGTGTGTGAATTATAATTAGTCAGATTCTCGATGTCAGAATTGTGATATTTAACTCTGATTGCAACTTTGCAGTGAGAAAGTTTTAGAGCCCCCTGGGCAGTTTTGACAGCCAATCAAGGACCGTAACTCGTGTTGTTTGTTTACAAATTAATACCTTAAACTAATAGGCGATAATTTGTATATTGAATTGTGTTTATAGTCACCAATTTCAACACAAAACTAACCAAGGCTATTACACACCAACATGATTTGAGTGGATTGTATAATTTGTACTCAGGTGTAAAACGTAATGGTTTATGAGATCGGAGAGTGAAATAACTTTTAAAAAATACTTCAGGCGGTTAGACATTTCCAACGTCGACATGCTTGGCATTCCAGGAAGATTGTAATAGGTCAGTTAAGGTGACTAAAGGTTGTACGAGGTATATCTGTTGATAGGGTTTGAAAAGGAGATATGAATCATAAACGCATTAAGTCGCAATGAAGGAAGTAGAGCATATCAAAGCTACAGCTAGAAATATCTTAATCGTCTGTGTCAAATTAGTTAAATATTTGTGGCTCCTCAGGCAGAAGCAGAGACTTCACGGAATAGTTCAGGAAATGCTTTAAGATGTTCCTGTACATATTTTAAATTGAAGTTCAAATTGATTACAATTGCTATGTAATTTTAATTCTTGATCAAAAGCATTCTCACTTTTGACGTGTTGCGGAATGTTTTCCCAGTGCTGATGTCAAGTAGTGTAAACAAAAACATGTTTTGAGAAAGTGAAAGTATTTAGTTGGCTTGTTGAAACACGTGCAGGGTACAATTCGATGTTTATTGCAAGACTACATTGAATAAGAATTAGGCATTTAAGGAAATACTTATCACAAGGGGTAATGAAAAGATGTGTTGAAATAAGTTTTATCTCATGGCAATAAATATTTATTCGAGGTCAACCTGTTAAACATTGTTGTACTTGAAAGACATTTTCTTTTTGTAACACTGGAAAACACACACCTTTGTTTACATTTGTGTAACAGTTTAAGATTTTGTAAAGATATAAACTATTTTTTCGAACTATATATGATGCTTTATGGTTGTTGACTGGAAGGTACTGACTTTTATCCCCTCATTCAAGTCATATGATTATGAGAATAATGTGCTGAACTTGAATGCACAACCTTTATTATATATTTGTTATTAAGGTAATGCAAATGGCATGGATGCATATTGTTAATTTTTGTCATAATTGTTTGGGCGGCTATCAGTCGTGTGTTTGCTAGTCACCTCAAATGATAAACGAACAGACATGTGTGTTGATCTGTTAACATTGGTCTTCAGCAACCCATGCTTGTCGTATGAGGTGACAAACAAGACTGGGTTGTCAGACTCACCGACTTGGTTGATTCATGTCATTGTATCCCATTTGTGAAGATCGATGCTCATGATGTCAAGCACTGGATTGTCTTTTCCAGACGTGGTTATTTACAGATGCCCATCATATTGCTGGAATCCTGCTGAAATGAATAAAATATGTGAGGCTTGGTCAGTATTTTAATATGTTTTTTTTCTGTATTATTCCAGTAGATTGTTGTGCTATATCAGTTTTGAAAGGTTGTATCCTGTTGATCTTTGTGTATCAGTGTCGACCATCATATAAGAATGTGTAATGTATGTATCTCCTGACCAAATCATTAAGCATGTTAAGGTGTGTTATTATTATTAAAACCATTTTGACCACACTATTCAGAATACATGATTTATCATGCTGCTGCTGGTAATGTTTTAGATATCATGCAATAAGAATCACATTATTTTGGCTTACATACACATGGTTCATGGCAGTGTTCACCATAGTATGTTCTAGTGAAGATAAAGAAGACATCTATTCTTGGTATGCGAGGGGACTGTCTAACCTGTTCAAATCAGTTCACCAAGACTCTGGTAGTCTTGTTTAGTGCTGTTTGCCTACTGAGGTTTGTTTGATTATTGTCAGGTATGTGCATTAAGACAAAGCTGTTTGGTGGTTAAGCAGCTTGGATGATGTAGAGGTCTAGACAGAAGACTTGATATAACACTCATCACAGTTGTGCATGTCCTGGGAACTCCGACCACAAAGCAGTGTCAGTGTAAGCAATGTATGAAAGACTAACATTAGTCTGTGTTGACGTATGGGAGTTACCACGCTCACAGCACTAAGAGACTGGCTCCATGGTTTAGTGGATAGAGTGTCTATGGTCGGTGGTTCAAACCATAAGTGCGGCATACCAAATGTTAAACAATGGATGGTGCCTGTTGTTGCCCTGCCTGCGCTCGGCATTATGAGAGTAAAAAGTCTGGTCGGTTGGAGTCCGTATACTGATTCTGAGTGGGGTATAATGTTAAACTGTGGTATGGTTTCTCAGTGGGCGAGCTCTATAACAAACAGCATTAGTTCTGACGAACACACGGAAGCACATGTAATAATCTTGAATGCAGCATTGAACCCCCATTTCACCTCATCATAGCACAAAGATCACTTAGTGAAATAAGCCGTGGAAAGGAAAGTGGAAGACTATCATGCTATACCATTACCTTGTTACATTAGTATTTTGTTATTGGTTTGTAGATGCACTCAGCAATATTCAAGCTATATGACAGCAGTCTTCAAGTCATCAAGTCTAGATCAGACAATCCAGTGATTGACATCATGAGCATCGACCCACTCAATTGAGATACAATGACATGCAATCAACCAAGTCACCGAATCTGACCACCCGATCCATTTAGTCACTTCTTACGTTTAACATTAGGTTGCTGGGGACTTATTCAAACTTGGAATCCCCATGGTGGATAATTAGTAGTGGGTTGGGGGTGGTCAGTAAGCCTAGTGGTTAAAGCGTTCACTCGTCATGCCCATTTCTGGTGTTCCCCACCGTGATATTCCTGGAATACTGCTAAATGTACCATAAAACCATACTCACTCACTCACAATAATAGGGGTTAGAACAGGCCTTCAGCAACCCTTTCTTGACGTAAAATGGGCGACTATGCTTGTCGTAAGAAGCGATTAGCGGGATCGGGTGATTGGGTGAAGCCCGTTTCTGGTGAACTACTAACAACATATCAGGAATTTCAAGAACTAGTAGACCAAATATGACATGTAACATGCAATTGTTTAAATAGATGGAAATTCATGAACATAAGTCCCATATTCAATTGCCCATAGAGTCTAAGTTTTTCAGAAAACTATTACAAATAGAACACTGCAGCATGGCAGCCTTTCAGTGTTGATGCATTGTCCTTGAGACCCAAGAATATTGTCTTCAGCAACCCATGCTTTCCACATGAGGCGACTATACTTGCCATAAGAGGTGACAAACGGGATCAGATGGTCAGGCTTGCTGACTTCGTTGATGCATGTCCTCGTATCCCAATTGTATAGATCATGCTCATGATAACAATCACTGGATTGTCTGGTCCAAACTGGATTATTTACAAACCGTGTCATTTAGCTGGAATAATACTGAGTATGGTGTTAAACAACAAACGAAAAAGCATTGTCCTTTAAAAATGTTACAGGCCATTGGATTATGGTGATGCTCCAATCTCATTAAAATCATATCTTAGTTCTCGCTACTGCTAAACAAAGATCTAAGGACATCCCATTACGAGTCACGTCAGACTGACCTTTCGCAAACTTTGACCCACCAATGGAATGACTGACAAGAAGTCGACATTAGTCAATCAGAAGGCAGCTTTCTCGTGCTTTACGGCACTAATTTCAAATTGGCGACTACGCTTAGAAACATGTTTTGACAAATTCCTGATTAAAAATTTGAAAACTGAACAAAAGAACATTCTAGATGGTCTAGATGGTATGGATTCAGTCGTTTAGTATGGGCGGCCATAGGGTTAAAAAATACAAAGTTGAAAAAAAAGACGAAAGTATGCAATAAAGGTAAAATAATATGAATAAAGAACTAAATGTTACTAAAAAGGTCAAAATACAAAACAAACAGACGCCGTTTAAACAAATGCAAAGTTGAAATAAAGGTTGAAAGTGCGCAATATTAATAGTCAAATGTTACGAAAAGACGTCATAAGAAAAGAAAGAACAATGTGTTCGAAAGAACGTCAGTGAGCACAAAAGGACGTTGACAATAACGAATATATATATATATATATAATGTACTCATTGTGTATATACATGTTGCGTTTAAGCATCATCACCGGCCAAGGGCCTTTTCATAAATACAGTATACTGTGTAATCCGACATCTGCCTAATGTAGTACATGTATTTTGTATACAACCTTCAATATACACTCATTTGATGCTAAACTAGGATTAATCTACAATGATCCAATAACTGTTCATGCTTGGTGCAACATGAGGGTGCTATGATGCCGAGTCTTGTTTCAGACGCACATTGTCATAACATCTGAAAAGTGAACGTTGTGCGAGAATTTGTTTTATTTAACAGCTTTTCGGAAACTGTGTGACAACAAAATGCTGCCTAATATCAGAACATTAAAAATATATAAATAGATTTGTATGCACATGTATAATGTTACACATTCATTAGAAAAAATAACTTGCCATAAATAAAGAAAATAGATTTTCCTCTATGACGCCAGCGTCCGTTTTCAAACCAGATTTATTTCGCTTGTTTACATTAAGACCGTTTATATTTATGACAAAGACAAGTTGTAAGTTGATTCCGAATGTACTCGTAATTCAGGGATGTATGTATCGCAGCTGTGTGTGAAATATATGTGATGTCGTAGGTGTCTCATAACCGGCATACGTGAAACATGACTTTGTAAACACTATCCAATCTGGCAGAAAGATCGCTTTGGCGTTCGTGTTTGCTTATTTTCTCTAACATTTTAAACAATTTCTAGGGTTAATAAAAACTGGGGTATATATAAGTGTGACGTCAGACGGTGAGTGCATGAGGAGTGACGGAATACATTGTGCATCTGAGCATGCGTGTAGTTATCGTATACACGGCGGAACAAGCCGATTAAACT